AACAGAAAAGTGGGTGAAGGGAGCCGTCAGACACGGGCAGATATGACCGAATAATAATTTATAAATTATCAATGGCTCATGAGGGAGTGGGGAGTGGAGAGGGAAGGGGGAAAAATGAGGAATTGATGCCAGGGATTTAGGTGGAGAGCAAATGTTTTGAGAACGATGAGGGTAATGAATGTAAAAATGTGCTTTACACAGTTGATGCATGTATGGATTGTGATAAGAGTTGTATGAGCCCCTAATAAAACGATTTTAAAAAAACGCTTAATATTAGGGGCATAATCATAGTGTTACACTTTTACAGCCTACTTTTCCCATCAATATTTTAACTTAGCACATTATTTATTCATTTATGAGGTCATTCATTTGACAAGTATGTATTAAAAGTTTACTGTGTATTCAGTATTGATAGAATAAAGAACAACAACAAACTCCCAAAACAGAACCAAACAAACTGCCATCAGGCCGATGCTGACTCACAGAGACCCTCTAGGAGAGAGTGGAACGGCCCAGTGAGCTTCCAAGACTGTAACTCTTAGAAATAGAAAGTTCCATCTTTTTCTCTGCATGCTCTATAAGGCAAAACCAAACGCACTGTCATTGGGTCGATGCCGATTCATCGCCACCCTGTAGAAAAAGGCAATGCTGCCCCCTGAGAGTTCACACGACAGTGAACTCTTTATGGGAGACCCTTCCATGAATCTGTAAACAGGATAAAGACAAAACAAAGACAAGCTTCGGGAGGAGGGAAACGGTCCACATGCACACAGCACCGAGGCTGATGGGATCTGCTGACACAGCCACCATGGAGTTCATGATCTAGAACAGAGGGCAAAGAAAAGCATCCAGAGTGCATGACGGGGGCGCATCACTTTATCACTGTGGCAAGTGGTTCTACAGAATCGGGGAAGGACCATGATTGCAATGCAAATGTAACTGCAAGCTAAAAAGTTGTGTAAGTGTGGTTCCCAGGTTTAGATTGCCTGGTTGTATCGGTGGTTGGAGGGTGACTCATCGTCTTGCGACCTGAGTCTTAGTCACCAGGACCCCAGGCTTTTATTTAAATGACCTATTTGTAGTTGAGCATTAAGGGTATTCCCAGGTAATTGATCTAGGGTTTTTTTCGTGAACAACTTGTGCACAATAGCTCATCTTCTTGCAAACACATGCTCCCTGAGGGCAACCCGTGCTCCCGAGGCTTGCAGCAGACTCCACTAGGGCGGAGCCACTCCGATTAATTCCAGGGGAATCTGAATGTACATCAGGACTCAAACTGGGCTAAGGAGACCACCGTAGTAGTCCACTGCAGCCTTACACAAACCAGGTACTTCAGAACTTAAGGGTTCAGGGAGCCCTGCTATTGACTCTAATAATTAGGTAAATACAAGTTGAAGGCTGTCTTTCTGAGATACATTTTTAAGATTTCACTGAGCTAGTAGCAAAATTCACCTCTCCCAAATACCTGCAAGACTCACATTCCATACAGTTAAAATAAGAAAAACAGAGGGAGGGATGGAAGGGAGGGGGAATAAAAATAAACGGATTCTTTTTTTTTTTTTTTT